TATGATCAGATGATTTGTTGAATTCAGTCACAATGCAGTGTTTACTCATTTCATGCATTCTTGAATGTTTCACCAGTTTGGGTACAGGAGAAAAGGGAAATGTGAAATTTCCTCAGTAAATACTGAGATTAAGGAAAACATTCTTCTGACATCTTAGAGCATGCGACTTGCTAAAAAATTAAACCACATTTCTCCCAATGATACGATCAAGATGTTTGGTGTAAGACAGGAATAAATTTCACTCATGCAAATTGGGACAAAAGGTTAAGTCCACAGGCAGGACTTGATCTGTTCCCTAAAACATTTCTAAAGACAACTTTTAATCAGTTCTTCTCTGTGTTCCATTCATTTTCTACTGTCTTATGCTGGTGAAATCAGTGAAATAAAATGCATGTCCTGTTTAAGAAGTGTGTGACACATGTGAGGGAGAAGCAGGTGTCAGGCTTTCCACAGAGCCAGTGTGGACATCCCGCCAGTGTGCTCAGGAGCGCAAACCAGGCAGAGGATGCTTTTGTTCCCACTCTGCATAAACCCAATCTGTGTGTGTCACCCTGAGCTTAGTATCCATCAAAAATATATTTGACATAAAATGCTGTTCAAGATAATACTATAATCACCATTATTGAAATCTATTATCAATGGAATATTAGTAATGATTAGTAAAAAAAGCTAGTGGTGACCCTGGAAGGTGCAGCTTCCGAGCAGACGGTGACAGTGCTGGTGTTTGGATGGCAGGGCAGCATCATTTTATGCTCACAGTCAAGTCTGACAAATTGCATAACGATGCTGAAGCAAGCCTGAATTAAACTAAGAAAGTGTTTACATCATTAGGTAAAACTGGTACCATAAAATCTGGACATTGAATCTTAAGATTTTTCTGTTTTGAAAATGCATGTTTATATTCATCATTAAGATATGCCACTGAATATACAATGCTACTTCCATGTTTTGACATTAGATTGCATTAGTAGCCCAAAGCAAAGCTGAAGGATAAAAAGCTCCTAAGTGTGGCTCTGTACAATGCCTCACATGGAGACAACGCTCTGCCTCCACATTGTGTGTGGCCATGCTGACCACCATGCGCCCTGAATTGAGCACTTTAATACATTTTTCTTCAATTGAAGATAATATTGGGGTTCAAAAAATCATCATAAATGAAATGTAATAGCAATGATAAAGATTTACTACTTAGTACATCTCCAGGGGAAAGCATGCACCTGGGGCTGCCCAACACAGGCCGTGATAAAAACTGTGCGTTAATATACAGATCTGAAATTAAATGTGGGCTAAAAACCAGACCAAATATTAGGAATTAAAAGATTATCCCTATATAGATAATGCAGTGTCTATAATTAAGATACTGATTTCTTTATGCTTTCTCATTGGAAAACAACAATAATAATAAAAAACAAATGAAAATAAAACACTCTAAATAAAAATGGGAAGATTCAGGCAACATTTAAACCCTAATACTGATCAATGAATGGGGACGGGGAGGACAATCGAGTATGGAAATGGAATAGATGTAAGGTACACAAAGACCCCAACCACAAAGGGAACTTATCATTCAACTTCCTCTTACTAGAGGCATTTTATCAAAAACCCCTCTGCCTGTTCTCTTTCCAGAACCGAAACTGAGCTACTCTTTACGTGTGAAAACAAAGGGACAGGCAACACTTACTCCTTGCCATGAACACCTGCCATAAACAGGCACATTCCTAAACTCGTCCCCTGGGTTGAATCATGGCTGATGGAGGTCGGTTTTCTGAGAGTCACTGACCTGCAAGCAAACAACTGACCACAGTGACTGTCTGATCTGGCATATGGGGTCTGAGCCCCCGAGTGCAGACCGCGACCAGGGGAGGATCTGAAAACATCGACAGCGATGCAGTCTGATTTAATCCTTGGAACTTAGAAATCTCTATTTAAAATTGGTTTGAGCCAGGAAATATCCTCTACATTTTCTAACAGAAGAGTAAAATAGTGCTAAGTATGCATTTGTTTATTGGAATATATAAATACTTTGATGAAAATTCTTTTCTTGGAAAATTAACCAATAGACTGTGTCCGTCCTACAGTATAAATGTCAGAAATGACTAAAGACAGGTTCTCACTCAAAGCAGAGTAAGTGAGCAGGCGCAGGGCAGGGGACCCTGAGGCTTGGCCTTCCCCGAACTCCAGGGGAAAGCATGCACCTGCGGCTTCCTGACTTCCTTCCTAATCCTTATCCACCTGAAGCCATGAGAGTGACGGTCGCAGCCAACAGCCAACTCTGACCCTCACGGTGGACATGTGAGCCAGAGGAGATGCTAGCAGAAACGGTTGTTGAAAGCATCACCTTCCTGAATAGTAATACACCTCCTTTTCCTAAGAATGTGGAAACATGAGCCCAGAGAATTCAGGGACTGGACCCAAGTGGCCAAGCTAAGCTGCAGAGCCAGTTTTAAACCCAGACTGTCCAGTGGCCTCAGATATTTGGCCACAGTGACACCTATGACTGCTAGATACTTTGCCTTCATGGAAGGGTGCTGGGTCTACATGTTGTACCAGCATAGCCACCATGTCACTGGGCATGTTGTAGGAGACAACCTCTATCATTCCAGGAAATTTCTTTTTGCAAAATATATTAAAAGTATAGACTAAGCAACTCAAGGTGCCATCAGGGTGAAGGCAAACTCCTGGAGACCCTGTGTGATTATCGCCGCCCATTCTCTTCCTGTTGAAGTCAGCGCTCTGTCCCCCTCCACCCATCTTCTGTCTTAGGAAACTTGAACACTTTGTGCGTGCTTCTACTTTGAGTATCACGTGTATGTAAAATCTTTTTCTTTCTTTCTTTTCTTTTCTTTTTTTTTTTTTTGTAGGAAGGACAGTATGACCCTTTTCAGCTGCCCCATTGCAGGCCCATTTAGTACCTGCGAACCCTGTGCTGGTGGCGGAGAAGCTCTGCCGCTCTCCCTTTGACTATGATCACATTATGGTTTCTCTCCTCTAGACTTCCTGGGAAGGACACTTGGGTACTTGCTGTGCAGCACTGTGCCTTAATCTCATGCTGTCCTGAGTGCTTTAAATAGTATGTGTGCAACTCCTGAGGCAGATGTGTAAATACCATGTCTGTGGAAGCGCTTTTAAAGCATCTACCTGGTGATCATGAGTGATCCAGACCTTCTGAGCAGACCGTCTTGATGGTTTGCTGGAGTTTCATGGAGGTAGAGTTTTTGCAAGGTTGTGTGGGAGACAAGAAAGCCGTGTGGTGAAGACCAGCAACACCCCACAGGGGCCAGTCTTACATGATGATTGACAGTGCAATGGAGAAGGGAACGAGCTCTCAAGTGGGACAGCCTACCATGTGCAGGGGCAGTGTTCATGTCAGTGTTCAGCTTATTGCCTTGTATTTCAGCCAGCAACACCCCGCTCAGGATGTTAGGGAGGTGGGAGAACCATACCTGCATCAAATCTTGTAGAATCAAATCCTACAAGACTGCTAACGACGGGAATTGCCAAAGGCCCCTATTTCAAAACATGAGCTCTTTGTGTATAATACCTAAGAGCAGAATTAATGGAATCAAGTTTTTGATTAACTAATTAATTCTACCAACATCCCCCAAGTGTCTATCATGTGAAACCCAGAAGCCAGCAACATTGGTGAAAGCAGAGGATCCACTGTTGGCCAAGCCATGTTTACCAGGTGATTTAGATCAACAGTAGCGTCATCAGGGATGCATCCCAACAAGGGTCAATGGAAGCTGCAACCCATTAGACCCTATTTGGAAAAATATATAGTGAAAGGTCATGAGGTTCATGGAATTATGAACATAGAACCTGCCATTCCGCTGAGCTGGTCTCCTTACTGCCAAGTAGAGTCTGGTTCATTAAAATCCAACCCTCAAAGTACAGTGCACACCTCTGCCTGGGAGCAGAAACTGTGATACATACCACTCAGTATGTTCTCTTGCCACATTCATCTCAAGTATATGCCAAGAAAGTAATCCAGTCCTTTTGAGCTGTTTATGTTGTTATTGGGAACAGCACCAAACACATATGCAAGTTGAAGGGCTTGGGTGATTTTTGTCTGTGTGCCAAGCCCTCCATTTCAAATATTAAAGTCTCTTCTGAAGATTGATTGTCCTCTCTGGTTTAAGCCAATGCTCCACAGAAGCTATGTCATTGGAATGCTTTATAAAATTTTCTAATATTGTTTTGCTTTTATCTCCCAGAATAATGCTAGTGGAACTAAAGAGATCTCAGATAAAACATAAACCATGTTTTAGACACACACACACACTCAACTATATTCAAGGAATACTAGAGCTTGGTGAACATATTCATTTTGGATTTCATTAAAAACATTTTAATGGGAAAGTACATCCAGGAAATACATGCTAATCTAAAATCAATACCAATCATGATGATGGGGACTGCGCGCTGCTGGGGAGAGGCACTCTGGGGCGGACCTGGTCTCCCTGAGTAAGGGAAGGTTTCATTATGTCAGGCCAGTGATAAAGAGCGAGTCGGGGATCGGTTCTCATGCTGGGGGATGCACAACACCTGCAGCATAATTAGGTACTCAAAATCTGTGAGCATTTTAAAAGTGCTTTCTATAACAGTTATTATGCATCAGGGGATGCCTGGGCTCAGCTGCTAACCTTTCATAGCAGAGTTCAAGAGTGCAGGAGAGGAGTCCACGGGAGATGCAGAGTGGATGGGAAGTTTGGCGGGGGGAGCTGCGTGCCAGGGGAAGTCAGCCGCCATACCCAGGAACATTTTATTTTTATCCCTGGTGTTAAATCAATTCCCCTCTCTGCCCCCGGACTCAGGGAGCAGAGATCATTAAGAAGATTTAAGTGCTTAATTGGGTTTTGAAGGAGGTTTCTCCACTAACATTAATTAAAGTCTCCCTGGGCTCGAAGAAGTTCATGTGCCAGGTGGGGTTTCCAGGTCCACATCTCTTTCCATTGCTTCCTCCGTGAACCATGGTTTTCTTTTTCTTTTTGATTCCAAAGGAACCTTCCTGTGCCTGCCTACGAGGAATCCCACTGCACACTGGGAGAGAAGATTTGGCAAAGTATGAAGAAGTCCTTTCTCATATGGTTTTGCTCTGGAGAAGAAAATAAGAATGACCACCCACAAGCAGAGAATAAGGTCAATGACTTTATCTTCAGCTGCCTGTTGGGACAAGAACGTCTGGAGGTCTTTTTGTGAGTGTGTGAATGTACTGGCACTATTATATTTACCCCATACAGCCACCTGCATTTTTTGTTGTTTCTCAAGAAGTATGAAACAGTGGAATTATGTAGGAAAATTACAAACTTCAAGGTCATAAATATTTATTGCTTGTCCAGTAGGGATGGTGAAGAAAACAAAGAAGAGATAAATGGAAGAGATCCAAAAGGAGATGGGGAAGGGATAAGAGAGAGAAGAAGACTGTGGGCCAGGCAGGAGGGAAGTCAGCCAGCCTGGGCCAGGTGTGGAGATGGAAAACCAGCCACAGCCCTGGGGTAGGCCCTGAGCACCGGGAGGTTGGCAGTTTAACAAAGGAAAGCCAAATAGCATCTGAAATGGAAAACTGGTCATGGTTTTTACAATTCTATCCAGTGTAGGGTGAAAGGGGGAAATAGATGAACAAAGAGGAGACATAAAACTGTCCATGTGACACGAAGATCTTTAAATAAAAAATTTCACATTTCTCAGGTATTGGCATATTTTTTTTCTTTGTTATCTCAAATGTCTTCTACAGGATAAATGGTTTTAAATCTTATGTGGGTAAAATGCATTGGAGAATAATGGTTTCCACATCATGGGCCTCTCAGGGGCTAACCTGAGCAGTGATTTGTTCCCCTGTGCTATGGGTAATTGGAAATCTATGTGGTGCATTGTCTTCAGACCAGGAAAAAAAAATAAACATGCCTTAACATGGAAAACCTGCACATAACAAATCTGTGTTGCGTGTCCTTCTCCTCTTGCTTCTTAGCCCTTTTATCGACCGACTGCATTTTGGTTTCACGGGGACCTCTTCTTGAAGCAGTTTTTTAAAGTTGGGAGGCCATTATCTTTTTCCGTGAAAGGGCTATTAATTTTTAGGATTTTGTGTATCAGAACTGATTTGTGCATTTCCAACAGCAACTCAGAACCCACAACTGTGGCGTGAAGTGGCTGGGCAGAGCCGAGAGCAGGAGGGGCCTGCAGAACACTCTCAGGCCTTCTTCCAGCCGGGGACTGTGGGCGCTGCAGACGGCATCCTGAGCAGCAGGAAAGCTCTGGGGCTTCATCTCGGGAAAGTAGTCTAGAATTTTTAAGCACTTCTAATTTTTTTTATTTTCTAATAATAGACTTCAAAATGGCTGTGTGTCAAAGGAGATGTGTTGGAACTACTCTGAGAGCGAGGGCACTTACAATAAACACTCCTTGATCAGCCCTTGGGTCTAAATTTAAATGTTCACAAATGAGTTCTGGGAGCAATGGAGGGACGGAACGAACGTCAGTCCTGCAGATCACAGCAATTTCCTCCTCCACAGTCACCGTGACGTAAGCACTTGGAATTAAAGCCATGGTAATAAAGGGCATGCCTGATTATCCCAGCCATGGTGCCTGGCATCTACTTGAGAGAGGGAACCAGCGGGCAGTTCAAAGTGAGGGGAACAATGGAGCTCATTATCGGGCATCTGATGATGGACAGCTTGCTCCAGGCCCAAGAGTCTAAGGCACTAGGTGTCACCCAGGAGCTCATGGAAAGTACCAGAGTTTCAATAAGGAGACCAGGAAGCCAGGCTACCTCTCTGCAGACCTCTTCTGTTGCTAAGATTCTATGCAAACTCACCTGGCACAGCCAACAGCCCTATAAGTCACCTGAATCCACTGTCCTGGTCACCATCATCTCACCTAGTCCTTAACAGTTTCCCATGGTCGCATGGCAGCTAGTCTCAGAGCAGGACTGAGCCACATTGGCTCCAGACCCCATGGTCCTCTCTGCTGTGCTGTGCTGCTCTCTGGGAAAGTGTGCTACATTCAGAGGGAAGCTTTTTCTTTCTTTCTTTTTTTTTCCAGTTAAGAATTGACATAGATAACTAAAATAGTAAAGCTTTAATTCAGAATTTTGAGCAAGTGCATCTGCAAAAACAGTTACCTCCCAGGGCAAGGTATCCGGAAGATGGCACATGGCAGCCAAAAGTCTAGACAGAGGAGCACAGGGAGGCGGGACCCACCACACCACAGAACCCAGCCAAGAGACAGCAAGGGACGGGTCATGATCATGGTCACCTCCTAAAAAGTTTTCAAGCTAAAACCAGAAGCATTTTCAGTTTGATCTACATGAAAACATAAACTATCCACTTAATGAAAGGTTAAAAGTGCTCTAGAGTGTGGGCCCATTGATTCTCCAGCCCTTTCATTCTTTATAAAATCTTTAGTTCATGGATCTCTTTGGATATTGAAAGATAACCGAGGGGAAAGTACCCCCAAGAGACAATTGCAGCCAAGATTTGGGGTAATGAAGAGGACAAAAACATATGTCAGTAAATTGCTTACAGAGTTCTGAAGGCTGATTTCTGCCTGGTTGTGCTTCACGTTACATAAGCAGATCTCAAGCAGGAGGAGCAGGGCACCAATCAATATGAGCTAAATTGAATTCGGTGCCTGAACAGCTACATTTACCACCCAGGGCCACAGAAAGAGGCAAAGCTTGAAATAACAGAGTCTGCCTGATTCCCAACATTAATTATCAAGTAATGAAGTCAGCAACAATTTTATCCCCTTATATTAAAAAATATAATTTGCTATTGTTGCAGAAATAAAGAATCAGAGTCTTAATTTTGAAAATAATTTTTTGCACAACTCTTTAACCAACAGAGGAAAAAATACTCATTTCTTTCCCATCTTATTTTTTTAAAGCCTTTGTTTAAAAATGGTCGTTTAAGGGAGTATACTTTTTTAAGGTCAAAGGAGATGTTTTGAATAGGTACCTTTAGATACTACAATGAACCAACTCATGGTAACTCTAAAGATCACAGTGTAAGACATGTGCATTAAGTCCTAGCTTTTAATCACTTTTTAAAGTTATTCATCTTCAAATACAATGAAAAAAATGATTCATATCTACAATCTATGTGAAGAAAACATGGAAAAAGACTTGCCGATGATATATTATTATCTATATTGTACCACATGGGCTTATTCTATTACCAGACTGCTCTTATTACATTATTATATGAATTATTACATTACTGTACAAATGATATGAGGAACAGAACAGCAATAGAAATAAAGAAGTATACTCATGAAAAATCCTAATTTTCCAGTAGTGCTCTCTGACTATACTTTCTGGCATTCAGAGTTTCGACTGAGAAACTAAACATTAGGGCCAATGTTACATTTTAAATGGAGCCAGCACAGTTAAATGGAGACTTTGGGTTTGCAAAGAGCGAGGAATCGACACGTTCTTCCAACCCCCTTCTTTCCTCCTTGCTTTTCGATGAGACAAGCGTCCATCTGGTGGGAATCAAAGGGCGAGGGAGGCCTTCCCCGCAGCTCTGGTCGCCCCCGGCCAGGGCAGCGCAGGCACCGCCTGCTTTCTCAGGCAGATAGCAACCTGTGCAGCAGGGTCCATGACAAAGATGAGCCGATTATCCTGTCACCAAGGAGCACGTGTCCCTGAGGTGGAAGGATCTCGTGTCCTCGGCTTTAATGAGGATGCCACTTATAAGCATCCGAGTCAGGCTGGACAGCCAGTCCTGGCAGGGCCTCCAGGTCCCTCCCAGCCCTGGCCCAGCAGCACACTGTCTCTGGGCCCAGCAGCACACTGGGTCAGGTGGACAGGAAACAAACAAGGCCACCCTCCCCGGGTCATGTGCCCTCCTTCACCAGGGTGGCAGAGCTGTGCTGAGAGTTACCTCAGGTGAACTCCCCACCCCACACTGTAGCCAGGACCCGCCTAGTAAGGAAAAGTAAAATAGGAACATGCTCAGCTCTTCCTCTCCTGCCGTGGTTACTCCTAAGTGCTGGCCTGTGACAGCTCTATTTTTGGTGATCACAGCTTGACTGATTGACGCTCAGAATCCCTTCCTTAGATTTCAGGAAGACTGGGTGACACGAACTTCCTAACACTCTCCCTTCTCGAATGCTAACGAGCAGCGCCGCGGCCCATCTCCTCCCCCCTTTCCACTTCCTTCATCCTAATGATTCTCACAGCAAATTAATCCCCACTCAGCCTTCCTCTGAATGCACCAGGCTGAGAAAACGCAACACATCCATCCACCTCTTAGCTTTTATATTCCTTTTCTGTACAATTCTGTTTTTAACTACGTTAATTGACTAATGTTCTGTGATACCATTAATCATTTTACAACTTATTTGAAATCTCTGAAGAAATCAATAAAACAAGTAAAAATCATTATCAGAATGCACTGTCTTATTATTCAAACGATCCCTGAAAGTAGCAAGTTAATTATTATATATTTGCTAATAATTTTGCTCTATTGAAATGTTCTCCTGCCTAACCAGGGATATAAAAATAAGCCCAGTTTGCAAACACCGATGGTTTTTAAAAAGCCATTGCATTCAGTGAAATGTATTCTCTTTTTGCTTTTATGATTCCAAGAGACACCATCTTCAAGTGTACATTCAATCACGTGTTTTTGAGATAATGGTGACAATTACATACAGTCACAGTGGTAGAGACGGACACTATTCCACCCAGCTCAATCAGTGCTCCGTGTGAGTCTAGGGCCCGAAAGGTGTGTGTCCTATCATCACCTCTGGGTTTAGAGGTTCAGGTTCCTTCAGTTGTGAGCCCTGTCGTGAAGAATGAAGTCGCTCTGAGAAGAGAAGACATTCCCAAGAACAGCCATGTCTCATTTGAGCTCCGTTTCTCCCTGTCTCCTAAAGGGCATTGGGAGCAATCTGCAGCAGGCATGCCTGCCCCTCTGCCACCTCCTCCTGCTCCGACTCCTGTCCCCTGTCCATCTGCCCAAGATGGCAGGAAAGGCTGGTGCGGCAGGCACTAGAGCCCTTGGCCTGATGCTGCTGGCTCTTCTCTGGCTCGCGCTGGAGTTTGTAGGTCATCACGTCCTGTCTGATCTCAGACATGCCATCCACGCCAAGGACACATGGAGGGGGCATGGTGTAGGGAGGAAGAGCCAGACAAGTCTCAGAATTTCTCAGCCTTGTGAAGCAGGGACCCTCAAACATCTCTAGAATTGCTTGCTGACATTCCTGGTAGATGCACTGGGCTGGAAACCAGTCTTTTCTGCCTCCTTGCCCTGCTAGACCTAATGAGACCCAAACTGCAACGTCCATGTTACAGGAGTCCACATGTTTCCAGTTTTGAAAATTAGACTACAGATTTAAGTGGGAATGTTTCTCAGTATTAATGATCAAATTGATGAACCAGAGACTGCAAACCTCATCTCTCCATTCAGTGGTTTAAGTATATTTGACAAATTTGGACAATTATTTTCCTGACACTATATATCTTTTATTTTCTGTTTTTAATCCTTTATTGTTTTATAGGAGATTACTATAAATACAAAAATACAGAATTTACAAATTATAAGTGAATTTATTAGCAACTTAAATACTTTGAATTGTAGAACTAGTAATATTTAATTATAACAGATGGGGATAGACCAGGAGAAAGTTTACCTCTGTGGATAGTGAGTCCTGAAACATGTGTTTAGAATATAAGTATTATTAAATTAG